TTGTTTCCAGGAATTCGCCTCTGGTGTAGCTCTGGGTGTCCAATCGATGTTCGGACATGCTGTTGGTGGAGCAGCAGGTGCAGTTGGTCGAATCACCGGAACTGTAGGCAAAGGTGTAGCAGCGCTTACATTTGATCAGGAATACCAGAGGAAGCGTCAGGTCAGTGCAAAATAAGCAAATAGATGGTGTCATGAGATTTGCAGGAAACTCTGTGACCTGTCGAACGAATTTTTTAGTTAGTTCCATCTTTGACGCATTTCAAAAACGTCAACTGGTCAGCTTTTGCAAAAACTAAAATTAACAGATTTTTCTCTGTGCCAACAGGTTTTTCTAGTGAAGCGTTTCATTGAGCCGACGTTTCGACTAGTTCGTCGTCTTCAAGGCCTGAAGGAAGCACCTCGAAATTCTCAAATGAAACTTATCCTACTTAACGCTGACTTGCTCCTAACTAGTCACAACTCAAGCAAAAGGTTCAACCAGAGTCGAATCCAAGGACGACGATCTAGTCGTAACGTCGGCTCAAGAAACGCTTCACTATAAAAAAAAACCTGTTTGCTATAGAGGAAAATATTCTACTATCTAAACTTGCTAACGTTCTAAGAAAGGCGAACTCGGACAATACTAAAATTAACGAAAAAGAACTGGAAGGATTGTTGAGGGTCTCCAGTTTTCCATTTCTGCTCCGCAACTTAGGGTGAAACGGTCGCAGAAATATCAGACTACATTTGTCTTCAAGGCTGCCAAGTCTTAGTTTAGCTTCTGCCTGACCCTGGCATTGGCATATGGCAATTCCCAGTGCGAAGCTCTTTTTGTAGTCAATCAGCAACTCAATTTGAAAGATGAATTCGCATAATGTAGGACAGACTGTCAGAACTCCTGAAGCTAGGCTTCTGTCGTTTGTGAAATACAGGGTGGCCGAAAAGTATAGGACGCCATGTTTTTGTGTGTAAAAGCCAAGAAAGAGACTCGATCAGGAAACCGACTTCACACAAAGATAGAGTTAAGCTATTTGATCACTTGTGCAGAAGGTGCTTTGAATTTGACGACTCTGCTTTGAGAGAGGCCTTCTGACGTCCAACGACAAAATCAGCAGTGCGCCGCAGGTAGCCAACGGCGATGTCGTCCCACCTCTTCTGAAGCGCTAACTTCAGAGCACCCACCGAGCTGGAGAAGTCTTATGAGGTTCGGTCTTACAACATCCTCAGAGGAGCCCATAGGGTTAAGGGCATGAGAGGAGGAAGGTCGTAACTCCTCCAGTGGCCGGGAAGTGAGGCCCAAGATGGCTCTGGTCGACTTGAACGCGTATTAAGGAGCCCAGCTTCATTGAAGAGCAAACGACCATTGAGCAAAATGCTTGTGAATCCAGAACAACATACCGTACCTGGTCAAAGTCTTTTGCAAGACCTTCGACTTAATTCAACATTTGTGGAAGATGAACTCCAATGGAGCTGCACTTTTGGATGTTACCCCTGTCACAAACTACCACCACACCTTGGGAGAAAGTCTGTTGTAAACTAGACGTTATCTCGGAGACTTGCTCTCACTTTCTGGCAACAACTGCCTCTGACTTTGGTGGTCGCAAAGAAGTTTAGTTCGAAAATTTTCTCATCCGCAATCCACAGAGCGATGCGGCGCACCTCGAGCTCGTGCAGAAACATTTTGCATTTTGTCAGTTGAACCTATTCGGGTTGCTCCAATAAAAACCAGCATAGAAGTAGTCGGTAACCTCTTCAAATAATGACTGCTTCCCAAGATTTTCTGGAAGGAGTGACGGCAGATCCTGAGATCAAAAGCGATGTGACTCACGCTGGCTTCATCGTTGTGAACCATCCTCTTCTAGGTGATTGCCCTAATCCTCTGAGAGTGCACAGTTCTTCAACTTCCACTTTTCGCAATCCCGGAGACTTGTGCTTAAACCTTGAGAGCACCGAGCATGTTTCAAAGAGTTGAAGAGGGAATACCGAGTCGCTTTCCGAAGTTGCAATTTCAGAGACCGTCATTAGGCAGCCTCTTGTTAATGGGTCGATGCAAAAAAAATCTTCATTGGCGAGAGTTCAGATGAACTTTGGACCAAATCAACTTATGGTGCTTCTTACATAGTTTCGAAGCTTTCGAAGAGTTTTGAAACACTCTGAAAATACTCCACGGCTCAGTGCCAGCAAGCGGTCAAAGCCGCGTCCTATACTTTTCGGCCACCCTGTAGTTAGCGCCACTCACTCATCGCCGGTAACCATGCTGGATAGTCAGTGGGGGAACCATGGTAAGCCATGGTAAGCCACAGGAGCATTAGATTTTAATAACTTTGACTAGATCCTGTGATTATAGGATTTATTCGGGTGGAACATAATGTCGTAGCGTTTTTTTTTTTCGAGTGATTCAGTGATTGATAAGTTCAATCCTGTACAAGCATCACCTGAAACCGCGTAGATCATGTGAAAATCCTTCCGCCCTACAAAACCTTTTTGATCCTTTCCCAAAAACTAAAACTGCACTCAGATATAGGGCTTAAAGTCGGAATCGCTTAGGCGGCTGGGAATTCGCCATCTGACCATGTTTATCTATTTTCGGTGTGCATAAAATGGAAACGCACAAGAAAGGGAGTCGTCTCCAGTAATCCACTCGTCTTTCTGAAATCTATGACCCTAGCAGACCCGACTGGTTCGCGACTCACATTCAGGACTCCTATTTTGGCGTATAATTAGGCTAAGTCCGCATTGTCGTACTAAATACGAGACTCCGGAACCATTTCTCAAATCTCTTTGATTCTAACGCCGCGAATTTCTGCGAAGGTGGAATCCAAGTCGTAAACAGTGACGAATTCATAGAGTCGCTACAATGATGGGGGGGGTGGGAGGCATCGAGCAGCTACTAGTGTGTTGGCAATAGGTTGTAGATATTGATGGAGGGTAGCATGCCGGATGAATGGAACAAAAAGATAATGAAAATATTAAATTCAAAATTCGGCCAGTTTGTTGCAAGACTTATGGACCGACCTAATACTATTTCATCATTCGGTCATTCGCGTCATGTTCTTTAGAACCACCTTGGTGGAAACAAGCCATTCTCATCGTCAAGTGAGCATTTGAAGCAATATCGCTGTATATTTTAATATTTTATCGCGTTTTCCCACGCATTACAGTTTTCTTTGCCGCGAATTCCGCTCCACATCGCTATCCATGAAAGTACAACCCTGCCCCTGAGCCCTCCGTTCTCGCATCTCATCTCAGTATTTCTAACGACCACCTTCATTCTCCCTTGCTGAGAATTGTCCTGTGGTTGGGCAACTCTGGCTTATGCTCTTGCTGGAGCCTCCTTTATAATCTTTGGTTGAATGAAATTTGTAGGAAGTGTCGCAGGACTTGTCCTAGCCTAGTCCTTCGAAGCTTCTGATAATGCCTGATGGTTGCTTAATATTTTTAGCAAGACTTGAATCGTCGACCGCAATCGTTTGGCGAAGGAATGGCGAGAGGCGTGAAAGGTCTTGGAGCGGGCGTTGTTGGTGGTATAACGGGCATTGTGACGAAGCCAATCGAGGGCGCTAAACAAGAAGGTGGATTTGGATTCGTCAAAGGCGTGGGAAAGGTGGCTCGGTTTTCATCAAATGCTTTTGATTAACGTCCGTTTTTCAAAAATTCAAATCATTGTTCAGGGTCTTGTTGGAGTCGTCACTCGACCAGTATCTGGTGTGGTCGACTTTGCGAGCAGTACTATGCATTCAGTACGGCGAGTGGCAGGTGCCAGCGAGGCTGGAGCACTTCGTCCTCCACGAGTTATACGCCCAGATCATATCATACGACCTTACAGCTACCACGATGCGCTTGGATTCAAGATATTCAATGTGAGTAGTTTTGTGTGTGAAGTACAATACTTTTGTGATTTATGCGTTTTTCAAAGATTTCTTCTTTTTTTTTGCTGAATGACAGACGCCCATGTCGTTGGGGGGAGGACCTTGAAGCAGGGTCAACCGTCCGTTCGCACAATTTTAGGGTCGCATTTATGATTTCGGAAAGTGGACGGGGTCGAACTTTGAGGTTCAGTAAAGTTATCATTGTTGGAATGGAAGTTGACGGCGAGGGTTGGTAAAGGGAGTTGTATTTGGACGCGCTTTCGTTTCATAAGACTAATGATGGCGTGGCGAGAGTGGTGGTTGGAATTTGTGATAGGGAGGAGGGGGTCGTATTGAGGGAGTCTCCTAAGACTCATAGTGGAGGTGGGGGGGAGGCATGGGAGGATGGGCAAAAAACGACTTTGTCGTTAATGAACCACTCTGTTTTGAAGTAAGTGAGCCTTCTATAGAACTTGGGACTAAGCTTAGGGAAGGGAAGGAATTCTGTTGCAGGATGTAAGCAACCTTTGTTCTGCCAAGCTACCAAACAACGGTTTTGGACTTCACGAACATGGTCCTATCCTTTTATAGGAGTGAAAATGACAACAATTCCCAACGAATTCAATTACAGTGATTCATGACTGGAGGATGGCACGGTATTGATGAGCCATCGGTAGACTAGGCCGCTCACCGCGGTGGGGTGTGGTTGGGAACATTTCTTAACACCCCTCTACCAATGACGTTCAATGACGTCGTCGAAATTGCAACACCTCCAGCCACCGTGACCATTGTGTTCGGAGCTTTTTTTCAAAGTGGCATCATTTTTTCAAGGTGTTCTTTGTAGTTTTGTTTGCTCTCCTTCACTACTATTTTACCAATTACCACACATACCTTCTTTATCGGGCGTGATAACCCGCGTGATCCAGTCGCAGATTGTGCCTTCAGTCGTAGGTAATGTTGGCGGCTGTTTGTAAATAAGCAAAAAAAGGTGTGGCGCGGACGAGAATCGGACAGGCAGGCGAACGGCATGGGAATTCAAACTGAAGACGGTTGGCTTGGGGAGCAGTTGATCGTGCGCCTCTTCACACTCACGTGAACCGTGAACCATGATGGTAACAACTAACTCCCCGCGCATCGGCCCTTTTCGTGTTCTCTGTGCTCTTCGTCGGAAAAGGCCAGAGCGTAAACGGGTAGGATGGCACCCACCGCTGCTCCCAACGTTGCCATGCGGGCGACACCTGGGGCGTTTGCGGGGGGAGGGGGTGGAAGGCGGGGGAGCGCGAGCGACTTTTCCGTGTTCCAAAAGCCTGAGCGTGCGAGGTAGTTACAGTCTCGAATCGCTATATAGAAGAAAGCGTGGACGAGGGTGGCACAATGGCGTTTCCCAAAGTGCCATTTCAAGTAGACGTAATCGCGCAGCTGGTGATGACCTATTGTAGATTGATGTAGATTTTTGAAGTAAATGTGTCTGCAATCAGATGACATGGCTAATCGCGCATCGCTTATGGGATATTAAATCAAATATTTGAATAAACCAATGCTTTTAGAAACGGGAGGGCTCCCAATATCATATTTGCAGGACACTGATC